TTATTTTTATATTTTTATATTTTTACAAAGGTTGATTTCAATTTCTACGACAAGCGGAAGGTGTCAGGTATGCTTTTGTCTTTACACTCTTGACTATTTGTACACATAAATCTAGCATCGATATTATTTTGTTGAATGCACTTTAATGCTTAAGTTAAAATTTAAGTTGGAAACATACGGATGGAGTAAATAGAGTATAAATGGTAGTAATCTCGAAGGTGAGAGTCTAGAATGTATATATGCGAATCCTCACAACGAATTGTGTGGAAATTTGGGTTGCTCTCTCTCTTATATATAAAGAAAGAGGATGAGTGGGGAACACCGTTCCAACATCCTCTTCCCCATTTGTGTTGCGGATGGGTGTGGTGCGGCAACGCCCATAACAATTCTCTAGGTCGTATCACAGTTTGGGAATAGATTGTCAGCATTTGATCACCCGCTAGCTATTCTTTATACAGATCGTTCAGGTGTGTTTGACACTGAAACTGATGCACTCGAAATTGGGTCTGATATACGCTCGATCTCGAACTAATCTTCTTTAACCCAAATCATGATGTGATTATATCGAACTTATGATATATGACACCTTGATTTTACTCGATAATAACGAATAGCTAATCAATAGAATATTAAAATAACTCAACTTAATCGGTCGAGGGTTCATATCTCCCTCCTATATTAACCTAAAAAAACAAAAGAGAGACATATATGACTGTTAATGAATTTTTATATTTTGTAATTAATTTGGGTGACATCAGCAATTTTGTCCACATCAATAGTGGCCATCTCCCCGCAGCAATAACGTAATTGAAGTATTTGGAACAATAGTGGTAATCCCATTCCTTCACGCATGTATTGCACTTTCCAACTTAACTGACCATAATCTTGCCCAAATATTCATGTAAATTTATTGTTTTCATCGCATTCGTTATTATTAATTTTAATATAATTTCCTTTCAATAAATTTCAATTTATCCAAAGTCCTGAAGGCTTTTTTTAACATTCTTCAAAGATTTAATATTTAAATGAAATTTATAAACTGATATTTAATTCAATGTCTCTATATTATCTTAACATTGACTAAAAATTTCAATTGATCCACTTGGTCCAATTATTAAAAAGAAAAAAAGTGAGTTACACTTATTATATTATATGTAAAGTTGTAACTCTCGTGGTATTACCAATGAAAGGAGAGGGTTAAGAGAACTAAGAAAATAGATAATTGTGTCTAAACAAAGAAATGAGTGTTGCGTATACAGTATACATAAAAATGAGAAAAATAAATTTATAACCTAATGTGAACATTTAACGAACTTGTTGATGGTAAAAAATCTACTACTATGTACACAACGAAATAGCTAACAGTCTTAATTCTCTCGCCTCAACTAAGAGTCTAAGTAGGAACTCTCTTCTCTTTATTGTTATTTAGCAAATCCCAAATCCAAATAATACAATAAAAGATTAAGAGAAAATATAATAAACAATAATTTATATTGGTTCATCCTGAATTACGTTCAGTCTTTGGTATACGAGTTTTACTACGATAAGAATGTTATAATGAGTTTCAAAAATACTCTACAAAGCTATTTTGAAGTAAGATACTTCAACGGTGGTCAATTGATTTCTAAGTACTGCAGTAATATCTAATTTAAAACATGAAAGTAGGTTGCCGACGATGCACCACGTCCAAAAACTCGTTCTCCTTTTCTCTTTGACAAACCACGGCTGCCCGATTCTAATTTTGTGCCACTTAACATAAAACGGCGAAAAAAAAAGATTTTTATAGTAAAAAAAAGAACATGTTTGAGAATCATTTACTTTTATTATTCTCTAAAATTTTAAATTAAAAATAAAATATTTAAATAAGAATTATTTTTTATTCAGAATTTAGATGTTAGAATTATTTTTTTATATTTATTATGCTAGTTAATAAAATGATACTTTTATTTATATTTTTTTAAAGGAAAACGTTGTTTAATCAATTTGATTTTGTTGTCAAATATTTCATTTCTTAAAACAAAAAAAAAAGAAAAAGGAAAAAGAGAAGTATGGAAGTTACCCAGTCCTAAAATTTATTTAAAATTAAATACACGAACCAATAAACAAAAATATTACCCGAACCAAAATTATTGAGATTTTTAAACTTAGCCATTGACAAAGATTTAGGGAGATGTACCGGAGAAAAACAAAATTAGGGAGATGAAAAATTTACCGCCCAATAAGAGAAGGCGGTGGAAGTGGAAGGCTACAACTACATAACCGTCCAAACGCGGTAACAAACGGCGGGGGAGTTTCAACAAGTGGCCGCCACGTGGATTCAGCACGAGCTGCCACGACTCTCGAGTAGTCAACCACGTGTGCACCTCATTCAACAGATTGCGAGAGCAAACTGACACTTGTCCCTTTTCTTTCTTGTTTAGCGGTTAGCCGTTGGAGTTATCTTACCGAATCAACCTTCTCCATTTTCACGACTTTTAAACCACACTCCGCAAATGACTTCCATGAGTTCAAATTTAAAGCATTTCAGGATTCATCTGGGAAGCAAAATAAGCATACTTAAGTGATAAATGAAATACATTTCCAATTAAAAAATTGTAAGTTCGAACTTCTATTCCTACCTGTGAAAAAAAAAATTAATCTTTAATATTTCAATTTATTTCTCTTTTTCTTTTTTAGAAATATAATAACTTTTTTTTTAAAAAAATTTGTCCATCTTGTTTCTTATTATTATTGACTTATAATTTATTTTAAAAGTTTAGAGAACGAGAAAAATAAAAATTAAAGATAAAAAAAAAACCAAAAAACAAGAGGCAAGGTAATGTGATTAAAAATCTCTACATGTCTCTCAAACGTTGTATTTTGATTACAAGTGTCAGCAAAGATCTACAAGATCAAAGCCAATTGTATTGGTTTTGAACTTTGAGAAAATTATATAAAACAAATGCGAAATGTAATTTACGAACATGCCCCCAGCTTCCATTCAAAATACTCAATTCTGTCAACTGCTCATTGGGTAGGGGGATGCATCCGACAATAGCTTATTAGTTATTTACTTCCACTCCTTGACACGTGTACCGAGCGTGCGAAACGGACCCTACCAGTCTTGAAACGGCCGTGCCGGTAAAATGGGCGGTTGCTCGGGTCCCACTTTGGTATCGACCCGGCCCAATGACCCTCGAATCCGATTCATAGCGCCTTTGCCTTTTATTTTATTTCATTTATTATATTTATATATACTGGCTTCAGTCTCCTCTTTCCCTCGCTCTTTCCATCCAATTCTAAACCTCTCTTCACGTTTCTCTGCCATCATTTTCTTCCTTTCCTTTCCTTTCCTTTCCCTCTCCCTGCAATCGAATTCATTCCTTAAGAACCAGAAATACTTTCAGATTCCGAATCCGCCTTCTTACCAGAACGCATTTTCCGTTGCTTTTATTGATTAGTTTCTGTGTATTCTCGGTTTCATCTTTTGTCACTGCGATTTACACTTCCAGGAATTTCCTGTCCAGTTTCTCGTCATTCGTAGGTATAATCTTCTCTTTTCCTTTCTTTTATGTAGTGTTTTTGTGTACTGTTTTTGTTTGTTCGACTCTGCTCTTCGCTTCGGCGAGGTCGGTTTTCCGATCATTGGTGATAATACTGAATCACCTCGTTTCTTTAATTTCCATATGCCGGTTTTCAGTCGTAATGTGTCTGAGTATGCTTTTTTGGAGCGGAGTATGTCTCTCGCCGTCGGCTCGGAGGCGGTTTAGGATTGTGTTTGTTCGCTGATAAAAATACGTTTTCATTTTGCAGATTAATGGATAATTTGGGAAATGACTTCCTCGATTACCTTGTTGATGACTATTACGATGTGGCTAATTTCGATGACGACGACCCTTTTGGTGACGAAGAAACGCAGAGGAGCAGCGACGTAGAATCTCTGGACTCTGATTTCGAAGATGATCTTGAGATGGTATAGTATCCATGCTCTCATGACTTTTCCTCTTCATCTTAGCTTTGGTTTGGGGAAAAAAACAATTACAGAAAATGACGTTCGACTTTTACAGAGCAAGTCAAGAACTGATACGTCTGCGTTGGAAGCTAGAAATGGGAAAGACATACAAGGCATACCTTGGGAGAGGCTTCATTTTACCAGGGATAACTGCCGCGAGACACGTTTGAAACAGTACAAAAACTACGAAAATCTCTCACGCCCTCGAGAAAACCTCAAAAAGGTCAGTCGTGCTCTGTCACTGTCTTGCTTTGTAGGGCCGTCGCAGTATTATCTCTCTATTATGCGTAGCAACCAAATAAATTGAAAATGGGAGACGTGGATTTCTTTTAGAAAGTTGCGTTAGACTCAAGGAAATGGGAAAATTGACTATCTCATGTAATTCCTAAATTGTTTTCCTGTTTTTTAAATAATATAAATTACGGATGTTACATCCATCCACTGTTGCGTTAGCGCTCGAGGCTACTCTCTTTTATTCCGTTTTAGACTTTTTTTTTCTTTTTAAAGATAAATTAGTAAATATTATGCACCTAGATCAATTTGTGAAGATTGTCTCTTTTTTTTTTTATTCAGTTGGTTTTCTTGCGCTTTCTTGCTATACAGGAATGCTTGGAAGCAGAGATGCGAAATACTTTCTATGACTTTCAGTTCAATACGAGGCTTGTCAAGTCAAAAATTGTGCATTTCCAGGTTGAGACTCGTATTCATAGTATTTGTTTATTCTTCTTATTATACTTGATTATTAATTTTGGAGAAAATGTTCGCATGTAAAGTTGTTTTAATGTTTTGAAGGATTTTTTTTTGTATTTTTTTTAACGTCAATTCTTGGGTTGCTCAGGCTTTCTACATTAGTAGATCCATATATGCTAAGTCGGCCGTGTAACTCTTAGATCTATCTTATATATAGGCCGTCAGGAAGTCATTGCCTTTTGAATTATAAGAATTCTGAGTTTTCTCATAGAATCAATTTCCTGTTCAAGGTGCAATCAAATTTCACCCAAAACCAATATTTGTCATATTGAGTTGAAAACATTATTAATCTGTCATGGATTTAACTGTTAAGTAACTTGTCTTATTGGTTGTGGGTGTTCAAATCATCGAGTTACCAATTTGCTTTGTGGTTTATAGTATGTATTGTTTCTTTTAGAACTTAAATATTATTTTACTATTTCTTCTCCCAAGTGGCTGAACTATAATTCTATGGAACAAATGAAAAATACTTAGCTTAGGTGCTGACGGCCGTTAAATTCTTGATGGCAAGCTGTGGTGGTCACAGCAGAGAGGCAGCACCACAATATTGTCCTCGAGCACTTATGATAGCGACATTTATTGGTCAACTTCTAGAATTACCACCTCAGTGCCTCTTATTTTTACGTTTCGAATAAATTTGCTTTTTCCTGCTGTAGATGCAAAGTGTCTGTTGTCTGTTCGTCCTGATTTAGGTTTCCCACTTCTTACGATGAGGTTGTAGGTGTGTTGCTTTATTGGCTGTTAACTATAATATATGAAATTAACCCCTATTTGCCATTTAGGACTGCTATTTCAATTTATTTCAGCATGTAAAGGAGGTGGGAGTTTAACTGAGCAGCTGGCGCAACCTTTAAATGGTATGATAGGAAATGATCTGAGCATTTAAGCCTTAAGAGGCCCGCAGTAAAATTCCTTTAGTTAAAGATCTGCCTTACTCGTAAGGGTCTAATTGAAGTAGTTGATTTTACTTTTATGCACTTAATGATGTGTGTATTCAGATGCGATTTTTGTATCGATGCTTCATCTTTGATAGCTTTTGTGATAATTTTCTTGTGATAAAAAAGATTGCCCTTCGTGTCAGTTGATCTAATTTCTTAGAGAATTTCATTACTAAAACTTCAGCATCCAAACCAGTCAACTATAATTTTCGTTCAGCTGCCCCATGTACGTCCTCAATTTTATCTGGGAGTTTGTTTCTTACTTGATTTCAGTTTTTTGTCTATAATCATCTGATCCATGAGTGTACTGACAGACTTATTTCTGTTTCTTGGTCCTAGTGTGTGATATTTCCACCACTTGCTTTTCAAACATTTAACTAGGCGGCCTTGTTTTCTTTGTATTTATAAGTAGTCTTGTTCTCTCTGTCTTTGTAAGCAGTCTTGACTTTTGCATTGCATATATTTATCTCATTTCGGGTTATGGTTCTGGGATGTCATCACTGAATGATTCATATAATTGTAAGATTGGGTTATGTTAAACTCGGAAAATGATGATGAGTCCTATAGGAGCCTCAGCCTAGTGGGTCCTCCTAGTTCTTTCAATTTTAGTTCATCCTATACCTTCATTTGAGCCTCTGCCTAGTGGGTCCTCCTAGTTCTTTCAATTTTAGTTCATCATATACCTTTATTTGCTAACGGACCCCTGTTTCTTCAAGGTTATCTGGTGGTGGTCGAGTCCGCAGTTTCATTGCCAGGTCTAAAATGTTGTGACCCCTGATTCTTATTTTGCACACTAAATTTATTGTCGATGTTAAAGTTGGAACTTTTCTTTGAGTTTCCATTCTATTATCCAACTTTTCACTGTTCCACGACAGTTCCAATATTTTGTTGGTTCTTATAGAAACACTCTGTTTTACAAACCTTGTTTATTTTCACCACCTGTGTGGAATTAGTATGCTACAGGCTTAACTTGGTGGTTATTCTTTTTTATTCAAAGTTGTGTTATTCATATGTCAAGTCATTTGGACACACAAACGATAGCATTAGGCTCTAAATTTCCCAACAGACGAGTTAGTTTAAGTTTTTTGCTTTCTGGAGTTTGTGAAGACTTAGTCAAGTTTTTCACTTTCTGGAGTTTGTTGCGACGAGCACACCAGAGAATCTTTTTATTACCAGTTTGATGTTTAATCTGCATCTCTAATTATCCTACAGTAGTGACTGATGTCTCCATCAATTTTTGTCTTTCAATATGCGTAGCTGAGAAATCTGTTATGGGCAACTACGAAGCACGATGTATACCTAATGCAGAACTATTCAGTAGTACACTGGTCTTCATTGCTTCGGAGGAGCAAAGAAGTACTCAATGTAGCTAGACCAATCGTGCCCACCTTGGTATGTCACTAGTTGGAAACTATGATAATACCGGTTATTTTCCCAAGGTCCATCCAGGTCTTTGAATGATCGTCTTGATTAATTTTGATGGCTTAACACAGAAGCACCCTGGAATGACGTCTCAGTCACTTTCCAGAGTTCAGATCAGCACAATGGCGGTTAAAGATAATCTGATTGTTGCTGGTGGTTTCCAAGGGGAACTTATTTGCAAGGTGTGCAAGTTGGGAGTTAAAAATATGAAGCACACTTGATAACTTCGTATACATTTTCCTTGTATGGTTCTGAGCGTCTGATTTGTCTTTCTTATGTTTTCATCCAGTTCCTGAATCATCCCGAGGTTGCATTCTGCACAAAAGTTACAGCAAATGAGAATGCCATCACCAACGCAGTGGACATCTATAACAATCCAGAGTAAGTGTCATTATCAATGGGAAAAATTGACCAAGTATGAAATGTCCCGTGTCTACTACCATAAAAAAAGATGAGTGACATGGTAAACGATCGTTGTTTTAATGCAGTGGTGCGACAAGGATCATGACGGCAAATAATGATGCCAAAGTTAGGATTTACGATGCTGAGAATTTTGCTAGTCTTAGCTGCTTCTCATTCGACTGGTCTGTAAATGTGAGTGCCATCCAGTCGGGTTCTCTGTCATTGTTTTTGATAATTCAACATGCGTCCTTACACCATTCTCTTACAGAGCACATCCGTCAGTCCAGATGGCAAGTTGCTTGCAGTTCTTGGGGACAGTCCGGATTGCTTGATCACTGATGCGAATTCTGGCCGGGTGAGTACTTCTTGCTTTTTCAGCGTTTTAGGAAGAGAGGGGTAGAAATAATGGGATACTAAATGGTAGATTTTAAACAGGCTATTGGGTGCCTCCAAGGGCACCTAGACTATTCTTTCACCTCCGCATGGCATCCAAATGGGCATATTCTGGCCACGGGGAACCAAGACACAACCTGTAGGCTGTGGGATGTGAGGAAAATGTCAGAGTCCACAGCTGTTGTAAAAGGGAGGATAGGAGCTATAAGATCTGTAAAATTCACCTCAGATGGTAGATTTATGGGTATGGCCGAGCCAGCAGACTTCGTGCATATCTTTGATACCCAATCTGGTTACCTTGAAGGGCAAGAGATTGATTTGTTTGGAGAAATCGCTGGCATATCCTTCAGCCCAGATGCTGAATCTCTCTTTGTTGGTGTGTCTGATCGAACCTACGGGAGCTTATTGGAGTTCAACAGGAGACGTGATAATAGGTATTTGGACTCCATGATCTAACTCCAACCTGGACTTGAACCAGTGTTCTACTCAAAGTGGAAACTGCACCTGTAAAATCATTGTGCAAGAGTTTGTATATTGAAGTTGAGAAACTAAGGCAGCAATGCATAGGGAAAATTATAATTATAAGTTTTAACGTTCAAAGGTTTGAATGATGGAGAATCTTAAAGTACATTTTTTGATCTTGAAAGTAGGAAAAATTAATTGGAAATTTCAATCGGATATTTATATATTGTAAATTTTGTGATTGTTCTTTAGTGTGGAGAGGAACGGGAAGTTGGAATTTTTCTACTTCTCTATATTTAGGGGTATCTACGTTCGCTCTAAAGATTTGACGAATTTACACTTTCTCTAAAGATTCGAGAGACATCAAAAGTTATTTGTATTTGTTATTTGATCGTCAAGAGATTTCAAATTCCTGATTAACTAAGCTGTGTCCTTCTGAGAAGTCCTTTAAGACGTGTGAGCCATAGATACTCATAGCAATTAATAAGTGAGCCATAGATACTCATAGCAATTAATAAGGTTATGTGATGCATGAAGACCCATAACATAACAATGCCGGAGTAGTTGCTCAATTAACTCACTTTATAGGACAACTTATCCTTTGGGAAGATAGGGGAGAGAGTCCATACTCCATAGCTGGAATTATTGGTATTGTGCTAAGCAGAGTCCTATACTCCACACCCTCATATAATTATAGGATGCCCAATAAACTTTTTTCTACCCAAATTTGCCTCCATCATTCAACTATATTCTCTTCTTCGGCTGAGAAACTTGATAGTCACACATCTTCTATGGATAACAAGTTTGATACTTAACTTGGAACTACACTTCAATTTGAACCATATCTTATCCAAAAGCTAGTCAGAGGATACCAGCGTTCCTCGCCTTGGATGTGTGGGCTGTGGGATTCATTTCTCTTTTGCTATGGATCATCGATACTACCCCTTTTCCTCGGCTCGAAGAATTGAGGACGAGTCAATAGCCGAATTGCTTCAAGGGAGTAGCCGACTGCACTCTTCCATGTTAATTGCTTATAGTCCTCTGCAAGTTGCAGGAATTTCTTGGGCTTTTGATACCCCTCTTGTCCTTAAAAAATTGCAGCATCCAGCTTTGATCGTACATAAATTAAAATTTACGTTAGGTTTCAAAAGTCATATTGAATCTCTAATCAATCTGATCGAGAGTTCAAGAGTTTAAATTCTCGCAACTTGTTTCTCTAAAAAAATAATAATAATAATACTACAATTGAAAAAAAAAAAAAGCAATACATACATAAAAAGAAATTGAGACAAATTGATTGAAAAGCAAAAAAAAAAAAACTGAAGAGGAGAATAGAGAAGCAGCCTTCATTCATAAATTCATCCCTCCCGCAGACTCAGACTGGCAGCACGTGACTGAGTTTTTCAAAGTCTGTGAAGCACCCCGCTTCCCAACATACCCCAACATCCATTCCGGATTCCCTCTCTCTCTAAGCCCCAATTTGGTCAATTGCCACCTCCGCACCCTTCCATCTCTCCCACGCGACTTCCAGCGCGTGTTCCCCAAACCATCCAACAATCCGGTGTAATGTCGTCCACTGACATCCAACTGCGCGTGGGCCAGAACCCAAGGCCTCGCCGGCGCCGGACTCCAAGTTCTTGTCTTGTCCCACGCACGTGGCCTGTTCGACGCCACGCCACTTTTATTCTTCCCTCCGTAACCCTAACCCTATACTTAACCACGGTTCCCAAAACTTAACCACACACCTACTTAACCATGGTTTGGTTAAGTTTCCCCACAGCGAAATTAGCCATTAAAGTCCGTCCGTGTCGTGTCGCTCGCTGGTCGCATCCGCATCGCCCCTCATAGATGACTCCATCCTCAGCCGTTGGATCTTCAATCCCATCCCCCATCGTCAGAGATTAAACAGTTCCATTGACCAACCCTTTTTCTTTAATTTAAATTCTAATAATTTTGATTAATGCACATAATACATGCACGTTCTCATCTTAAACTTTAAAGATTATATCAATAATTAATTAGCTTCATAATTAAACTGATTCGATATTCTCTTGAGTCAACCCATGAGAAGGTTGCTTATGCGTTATGATATTATTTTCGGAAGTAAATACCATGTTTAGAACATAAACTAAGCTAGTTTTTTTGTTTTTTTTTACCTAATTAGACAAATAATATAATCTGAGGTCAAGAAAATGACATCATAACTTTTACTATAATCACAATTAGTGGATGGTGGAGGAGGCGATTGAGGTGTAAAGTAAAATAAAGCAATCACCAAAATTAAAATTCTGGAGCTTTCCCTTTTCTGGCAGACTACACGTCAAAATTACAAGGTGGGAAAATGTCATTTAAGGTTAGGAAAATTATCTTGAAAATGAAATAATAATTCCACAATAAAAAGGAGAAATTTCAAAATTTCTGCTTATCCATTGGCCCACTTGCTATAGTTTCAGGGAGTAAACTGTAATCCATTTATCAGACAGAGCTGAAAACCGTGTGGGCTCCCAGGTTGAGTGACTCGATCGGAGCCATCCATCAGCTTCATGCCGACGAGATCCAACGGATAAGATTTGACGGTAGAATTGTCAGAAGGGGGATGAATTAATTGTGTGCAAAGCAAGAGGAAGAGTAAAGTGAGTAGTGAGTAGTGTGAACGCGGTTTTCTGGTCAACCAAACTTTGAGGAGAATCAGTCTCAGAGATGATGAGCGTAATTGTGAAGCTAATCTACGGCGGATAATTGAGAGATTTTGTATTAAACGCTGTGATTAATGGAAGTAAATTTGAGGCTTTGGAGGCTTATAAAAGGGGGGCATCTCGTGGATTTGTAGGCGGAGAGACAGTGAGCATTTTCAGAAAGCTTAAAAAAAAAAGAAAAAATTGTGTGAGAAAAATCTCAGTTCGAAGTTTGAACTTTCTCCTTCTTCTTCTTCTTCCCCCCCTTCTGCAATTTCCCCGCTTCTCTGAATCCCTTTCTGTTAATAATCTGTCTTTCAGGTTCTGGTTTTTGGGTTTGTTTTTTTTTATAATGAACAATTACCAAACTTAGGATTGTGCGAAAGCCAGGTATTTTCAGAATCGAGATCCAGGAATTGTGTTTTCTTTTCCATTTCATTTATTTCTTCTTTCTTGTGATCAATCTGTGTAGAGGGTGAATTTTAGTCCCTCCTCAAGGTTGGTTTTCTTTTGGAGTTGAAGGGGTTGTCTATTTTATAGACCTCTTTGACATATTTGTAGTGGTAGCAGCTCTTTTCATGATTATTGCCTGTTCTGTCTTATTTTAAACAAGAATCAGGTTCATCTGTAAGGAAACACTTTTTTTCTTCTTGTTTTTGTTGTTTTAGATTCATTTTGTTTTTGTAAACTATTGAAGTAATGGCAGCTGCCATGGATTTCTACAACGAAGGTCCTCAAACAGAGCACTTCGGTGGCGAATTAATGGAAGCAATCGAACCTTTTATTAAGGTTGCTTCCTCTTCTTCTTCCTCTCTCTCTACAAATTTCCCATCCTCTTCTTCTCCTTCTCTCCCTTCTTCTTCCTTCAACAGCTACCTCTCTTTCTCTCACTCAGAACAGTCCATTGTGTACTCAAATGGCGGCTCCACTTCGATGAACCCAGTATTTTCAGATGGGTTCTCGAACCAAAACCTCATAGGTTTTGAACAGCCGTCGTTCACAGTTGGACCCCATCAGTTATCATCACCTCAGATTCCCCATTCCCAGCCTCATATCAATCTTCTTCAAGAACAGGCCCCACTGGCTTTTGGTTGGGGCCAAAACCATGAGCCCCATCAACCACTGCCGTGCTATGAACAGAGAGTTGCCAGTTTCCTCAGCCCCAAGCCGATCCCAATGAAGCAAGTGGGTTCCTCTGCAAAATCCACCAAGCTTTACAGAGGGGTCAGGCAGCGGCATTGGGGGAAATGGGTGGCGGAGATTCGACTCCCGAGGAACCGGACTCGGCTCTGGCTCGGCACCTTCGACACGGCTGAAGAAGCTGCCTTGGCATATGACAGGGCAGCCTTCAAGCTCCGAGGGGACTCTGCCAGGCTCAATTTCCCGCACCTGAAGCACCAAGGCTCCTGCGTTGAAGGCGAATTCGGCGAGTACAGGCCGCTGCATTCCTCAGTTGATGCAAAACTCCAAGCCATTTGTGAAAACTTGTCCAAGCCACAGAAGAAACAGGGCAACTCAAAGAAGTCTGTTTCTGCGGCTAAGAAGTCCAGGTCTCAATCCTGCTCCTCGGCGGCGGAAACAGTGGCTGCGAAGGTGGAGAACTCCCCGTCGCTGGCTGTGACAGAGAGCGATGGGTCTGCAGCATCTTCACCTTTATCAGATCTTACGTTCCCTGAGTTCACAGAGTTGCAATGGGATCAGAATCAAGCTTGGGACAATTCAATGCTAGAGAAATATCCTTCTGAGATAGATTGGGCGTCGCTCTTACCTTGATAATTTGATCGGAATCTTCAGCGGCACCTGCAACAGAGTTTTTAAAAGGTTGCAGGCCGAGACTATTCTATTCAAGGCTCAAATTCTTTAGAAATGGGCATTTTGTCAATATCATGTAAATGTCCACCATGGTCAGCTGGTTTTTTTTCTTGCTAGACCATGGAATGATTTAATTTTGGTGGTTTTTTCTTTTCTTTAGTCAGTCAGTGGTAGCCATTGTAATCATTTTTTCATTGGTATGTTACTATTCAATATTTTGTGGTTAAACAAGATTATTAACTTCGTTGATATTCAAAGTGGCCTGTCAGACAAAATTTGAACAATTAGATTACAGAATGCTCATTGAATTGAATAATCCATACAAAATAGATTGGAAGATTTAAAAAAGAATGTACAAATACAAGTTGATCTCATTCTCTTCAGGAATTAAAGGCCCCTCTAACCTATATTTACCTTTCCGGAAAAATATTCACACTACTTGAGCACTAAGAAATCGAGTATCTGGAAAGCTAGGAAAAAAAAAATTAAGATGTAATACGAGCAGAGATTAAAACTATACTATTGATTGAAGGAAAGTTGAGACCAGAAGTAGTAGTAGCATACCAACAACAGCAAGAGGAACTGCATATTTAGCTTGCGATTCGAATCTCTCAAACCAAATCAATGATCATATAAATTTGCCAAGTTCTATCTTCTTCTTGATTGCCTTTTGACCATGATATATAATGGAATCTAATATCCCCGAAACAGTGAAAACTCCTGAACGAAATCGTTAAAAAGTTTAACAATGCATCATTACAGAACCACGAAGTAAACTTCTCTTCAAAGTGGGCAAAAAAAAAAAAAAAATCTGCCTTGTTCACGACTTGTTGAGTTAAGTCAATGAGAAAACTAAAATAGTAAGAGGGCCAAAAGGAACGATAAAACTTGACATGAATTGCATCAATAAATGAAGTATTTTTAAATGTGAGAAGATTTTATGAGGATACTTATGGCATGGTTTCCTTTCTCAACTTGAGGTTCAAATAGCTCTTGTGAATTACCTCCAACAATAGCGCATACATTTGTCAAGAAGTGAAAGAATGAGATTTGCTCCTCCGTGAATGTCACCTGCAAAATGCAATATGAATCATTAGGTAGTTAAGACACCCCATATGAAGCAATTACATAAAGATTAGAAATGGAGGTCTTTTGCAACAAACTTTAGCATAAAATAGAGATCACACCTTTATAGGGGACAGATCATAGAAGAAAAAAACTCCATGAAGAGACTGGAAGCTTTCTTCGTCTAGGCCCCTCAAATGTTGAGTTACAGAGAACTGCACTTACAAAATATGATCTTAAACGCCATGCCCAACAAATAACCATCCGAGGAAACTAGAAACATTCGAGTTCAACTCAACCTGATTTGACTTAATAGCCTTCCCTCTCACATCCTTGTAAACTGTAGGCACAACCTGCAAAGAAATTCCAGAAATGCATCTCTCAAGAAAGAACTCTACCATTCGACATATGGAGTATGGACTGCAGAATGTCGGGAATGATATTGCAATTCCTAACTTCCTATTTAGGCTATGATCCGAAAGAGACACCTGCCTACCTCCTGTGAGATGAGGGTTATAATGGAAATGCATTTCATTGGAAGTATAACTCTAGAGAGTTTAAAAAGTCGAGGGGACAGAAATACTTGCATAAGACTGGAAATATTTCCCAGACATCGATCCATCCAAAAAACAAACAGTATATCCTAAATGGAGAAGTTAAAAAATAAATTGGCAGATGAATAACTTCTTTTTTCTCTCCCTCATCCACACCAGCTTGTCTACACTCCTCAATTTAGACAAAACATGACATTCCTTATGTGCATTTAAGAGATTAAAATATAAGTTATAAATTAAATAATGAAAGTCGGATCAAATTAAGAATACAAGAAAGAGTGACAATTAGAGATATCAAGTAACTACAGAAAAGTTGAAAAGATATAGACACCATGAAAACTGTCAATTCCAGAAAGTGAGAAGAATAAGAAGAAAAAAGATGACTTGAGATATCGAACTTAGAACCACCTTGATAAAATATTGGTACATTCCACCGAGTGATTCTTGGCTCCATTGCGCGCTTGAAGCAGAGGTAGAAGAGAGAAAAAAAGGGAGAGAATGTGAGGAAAATAACACAATCGGTCAAGAGTAAAAGGATGATTTATTAAACTTCAACAAACAAAAAGCAGCCTACCCATCAAGAGGATTTACAACACCAGGAAAATCATCTCCAAAAGTTAATCTGTTAATCCTGTGGCTTACCTGAGGCACATTAAAAGATAAATGAGACAGGTTACCTGTATATAAGTGTAGTAAAATTCTCATTTCAAAACCAGTTCCTTACATTAAAAGTATCCCACTGAAATGTTGCTAGTGGATTATGGATGTGGAAATACGATAGCTGAAAGCTTTTCCCGGGTGCAAAGTGAAAATTTCCAGCCACCTTATTAACTTCCAAGAACCCATGTATATTGCATCCTTCACCTTCTTCATTTTTCACCCTTTGGAAGAAACCTTCTCTTTTGCACTAAAAACACGAGTAACATTTGGCATATGAGAGAATACATTTCACCCAGAAAGTATAATCCAATCTGGCAACTCAAAAGTCAAAAACAATAAATAATATAATACTGTGATTCCAAGTAAATTAGGTTGATAACATCCATCATAAAGGGAATAAACGTTGTAACAAAACAACAAAGAGAAGAATAGAAATCAACAGCACGATAAGTTTCCCGAGATTGAAAACAGAACATTGAAAGAGAAAGGCTTCATTAAATTCTCTGGTAAACAAACCCTAATTGTCAATTTCAGCTACTCAAAGAAGGGATTTTAGTTAAACTCTGCACTATCACTATGATAAGTGTTATCGAATGATACCAATTTCAATCTTCTCTAGCAATAAGTCATTAGATAAGATGTAATTATTTTAAGGTGGTGTCTACAATGGGAAACAAATTGTCAGAAATATCACAAAATTTAAGGTACATTCACAAGTCAATATCATTCAAGAAAACTACTCTGTTCAAATAGATTTCAAACAGTCCAGTGAATTCAAAATTTTATATGACAATTTGCAACTGAAAAGAAAACTATTAAATGCTTTTATGCAGAAAAAGCAAGCCAACCTGGTCAATTAGATCTGGATGAGACAAAGCCCAACCTTTCTTTCGATAAGCTTCACGCACATCTTGACAAGAATTACAACAATCCTCATCGAACTGAAAAGCAGAACACGGGAAAGAAAGACAAAAATAATACCATTAGCAGTTAATTTGATTGTACAGTTGAGTTTTTACCGATCAAATCAACATAGCTATAGCGAAGGATATTCTTAATTGGCTATGCTATAAAAATTTGAATTGGCAGGGTAGTTCGATATAGAACTCGAGTAAACTACTGAATGTACCCATTTATACCTATGAAATACAGAAATAATACTGCATTCCTCTCAAGTTACTCATAAAGAACATGAAAATGCAATAAAACATTGTTCCAACATAAAAGTCCAAACAATGAAGTATAAACTTACTGCCCCATAGCAGGAACCACAATATGTCTCATTCTGCTCGAGTCTGCCACCATGTCTCTGTAATGGCCTCCCAATCTGCATGAAGTAGAAACCGTATCTATAAGGGAGAAAAGAAAGGAAGCAACTCATAATTTTGCTGATCCAAAAGTTAACAGTGCAGGTACCCAAAGCAGCAATCACCAAAAAGCATGCTCTTTATACATAACATCTGGTCTTGATTCTATTAATTGTTAATAGATACTGAATGAAAAGAATAAAGCCTTTTGGAAACTTTGCAGATTGGTAAATAGTAATTGAAAAGACGATGCAAAAGAAATTGCATATATATATTTATATACCTCGGGGGATCCAATAACATCTCGTCTTGATTCTATTTCATTGCCTTTGTAATCTATTCTTTTCTTTACTATATCATGTTTCTGCATAGTAAAAAGACATCGAAATACAATATTTAGCTGTTAACATTAACCAAAAATATCCCAACTGCCAAGCACTGCTTATATGTGAATTTTAAATGGCAACAATAATCATTCACAGCACAGTTTAGGATAGCATACCACATCAAGGTGTTGCTCTCCACTTATGTCCATAGCATCAAGACTGAGAACAGAACATGGAAGTGCAGGAAACGTAACATCAAACTGCACATTGAATATATGCACATCCAAATGCAAGTCAAGGAGCATTTTCAAAGAGAGAATGGTAAAAGAAGAACGAATAACTGAACATGATATGTGAATACATGCAACAAATCTTAAGAAAGAAAACAAATCCTTTGAAGTGTGTACTACATAAATAAATAAATAAGACAAGTTTCAATTTTGCAGGTAAATTACATTGATACGTAATTGTTCTCCTCTTGAAGTATCTACTACAAGCTTTGTTTCTGTTACAGTATGGACATACAAACCTGAAATTATAAGAGAAGCTCACATATGTTATAAGATAGGAAAGGAAATGTAACAGCCCCCTCTTTCATGCAGCAAGAGCCAGAGCTGTGAATGAGACAAGAACAGAGTAACCAAAGAAAAAAAGAAACAGAAACAAGGTACTGCAAAACGCCAAGAGACGAACAATTTTAACCGCGAGGTTACAATTTAATTACAAGAAACACGTTTTTCTAGAATGAAACTTGCCCAAACATCTAGAAACAGCACTTATTTGTTTACTAATTTACTCAGTAATAAACCACGAATAAAATAATAATACCCAAAAGATAAACATGATAGTGACAAAACAACCCAAAGAGCCCCACCGCATCATTTCATTCCTGGATTTTTCCATTAGTTCCGAATTTGCAAGGACGAAGAAAGCTGCAACAACAAAACATAGCATCGATAGATTTAATGAGAAAATATAAATGGCGGACGTACGGAGCTCGGAGATGAAGAGCAATAGCATTATAATGGAGGAAGCGATAGTGATGAATCCACCGGAGAGTGTACGGCTGTAGAAATCTTCGCTGATTTTCGGGTAGGCGTCCAATTTTCGAATCTTGTTCGTAAGGCTTTCCATCCTAAAGAGAGAGATCTGGGTCGGCAAGGAAGAAACTTCTTCTTCTTTTTCTTATTTTTTTATGGATAATTTGAAGAATTTTATGGCGCAATGCTGTAAGTAATTAATTGAAGATAAGAAACTTTCAGTTTCAAATCTTGGAACGCCCCGAAGAAGGAAGAAATTGGAATTTGCAGGGAAAAACAACGGGACGTGCAAGATTCGGAAACCTAACTGGATTAGAATTAGAAGTAGAACCCCTTCTGTTTCTATCTAATCTTTCTACTCTTCTGATTTATTATGTAGATTTCATGAACGTCAAAAATATTGATCCAAAAATAGATAGTCATTTGCTTGTAACCCCCCATACTTCTCAGCTTTCGGATTTCGACCCTCATGTATCGTCGGAATTACGTCTCCGGTCACCTTTCCAAATTATCTGCAGAATTTAAATTGATTTCTTTTGTTTATGTCGTGTATTAATTATCGTAAATTATTACCCGATGTACAATAATTAATACGAATGATGATGATAATGATAAGTGCCCACTTCAAAGAATATTTAAGCACGAGTAATGAAAAAGAATTGTGGCTACTTGATGACGATTCTTTTTTCTTTTCATGGTTATTTTTCAGTTTATGAATTTGGAAGCAATGATATTTTTTAATCATTTTAATGTTGGTTTTTTTTTTAATTAATAACAATCTATAGCTATAGCTATAACTATAACTAGAATACTTACCCATAAAAAAATTTGCATATCCAAGTGTGTAGCCCAACACACCATAATGTTTAAGTCGGACAAAAGATTCGATTGAGAGTAGCAAAAAGTAGGGTTTTGTAAAGCGTAACTCGCTCCCCAAACCTATTCTCTTACCTGTTGGGTTGATTCAGAAGGATCGATTAGAGTGAATCTGGTTTGATTGGGTGGTTCAGCTTAATCAGATTGCGTTGAGTCGGATGATCATGCCTTGGTCAGATCGAATCTGGTTTAGTCGGGTGGTTCCGTTCGGACAAGTTGACCTATGTCATTTTCTTGACCATACCATTTCTCCTCTTCTTTTTCTTTTTTTTTTTTTTTTAAATATGAAGAGTAAAACTTGCTTTATTATTTTTCCAGAACTGTTGCAATATAGTTGCATGGAGAGAGAACATGGAGAAACTATATGGAAAACAAATATGATACACATCCACGGTATATGTTAAACTTTTACGATCTCTAATTACGATCCGTGTTACTAAATATTCATAGGTTAAACTTTTAATGACGTTAGATTTCCTGTTCAGAGGAAGAGGAAGAGAGAGGTTTGATAATAATTGGGCAAAGTCCAAAGTCTAAATCCAACTGCCAAGGCTATGCTCTCATGACTCATGAGGGCCCAATTTCTCAGCACAAGACTTTCAATTGCTTTCCAACCCCATAATTGCATTTTCGCTTTAATTTTATTTAAAACAACTATGCTCTTTTCAACTTATAACTATTTCTCACTTTATTGAAATCAATCAATCATATATAGTTAGAAGAAAAATAAAGTAAGATAACATCACATCATTTGAAAGGAGAAAAAAAATCCCCAAATTCATATCTTCTTAACCATCATCATATCCTTATATAACATTAAACTTAAACAACGAGAAGTGTTCCATCTCGAATAATAACATAATTCTTTCTTTTTTTTATTTTCTTTTCTTAGTTCAACAAAATGTGTGGTGGGAGATCAAACCTTCGATGTTAGAGAAGATAATAAGTATGTTATTTTTTAAAAAATACAGGGAAAAAATAGTAAAAAAAAAGAAGATACTTCTCACTGCGGGTAGTCTCAACGTTTATGCATTGGTGGACCTCTAGAATCTCATATTATCAATCCAAGACCAATATTCTCCTTATGGAATTTTGTGTCGGAGTTTAGCCCGTAAGCCACTAATTATAGGACTCTATCTCTGTCTCAATTTATCTCGAGTTGTGTTTGTTTTAATACCTGGGTAGGAAAATTTCAATGTTTGTTGCTAAAATGTTTGTACTTAGATAATAGTTGTTAAGGGACGAATATCGACATGTCACATGTCGTTAACAAATTGACTTAAAAGTCTAAGGTATAACACTTCAGACTTCAATGTACCAAACTATATGGAAATCTAGAAGTTCGATGTATAAGGTCGAACTATATCTAAGCAATTTAATAACTTGTCAACTTCCCCACTACCACGACTGCTAGACTCCCACCGTTCTTCTTTGAGCGAATCTGGTTGCAAATTATATACGAAGTAGATCAGCATGAGACTTACATGAGCATCAGAATACTCACTGTTGTAGGTCTCTTTTCAGTTTGTTGGACGAGAATCCCTCAACTAACTAGATGACCTATGAGGAAAATAATTGACTTCTTAACGGTGAGTACCAAATCTTGTCTTTACCACCATTAAAAATTTAACAACTCATTATTTTTTGAAAAAAATCTATGTTTTTGCATTTTTCATTCTTAATTGTCAAATATTTAATGATCGTGAGCGAAGATCAGCACTCTAGCGATAACAATTATTTGGAAGATTTTTGTTTAGAGGTGTGAATTATTAGGCGAAAGGGGGAAGAGGATTAAAAAAGGAAGGGAATATCTGGTTGTCGTTTGAAAATATTTGTGGGACAGTTGGGTGGTTGTTTGATAAAGTAAAGAACGCATCGGCAGAAGAAGGCGTGAACTGAGAGGGGCGTTTCTCTGGCGTGGGCGTATCATTGGATAATGAAACAAACCCCGTGGGGCTTCACTACTTTTTTCTTCAATGTGTTTGACGAAAAGTAAAGGCCAAGAAAACGCAGCCCGCCTGGTTCTTCACTTCTTCCTCTCTCTTCCTTCAATTCATTGAGACCCCATTCCATTTTTAAGGCAGGCAAAAAGGAGTGTTTCAAAATTTTAACAGATAATAAAGTAGACACTGACACACCCAACAAAAGCAGCGGCAGCAGGGGGCCAAAACTGAACCAAATCCTTGCTCTCTCTCTCTCTCTCTCTCTCTCTTCTTCTTCTTCTTCTTCTTCTTCTTCTTCTTCTTCTCTGATCCTCTGCGAGGAGTCTGAGGACTGTCTTTTAAAAACCGCACATCCCAAAACCAAAATCCCCAAATGGGCTTTGCGAGAAAAGGACTTTTTTGAAACAGGGGCACTATGAAATTGGGCAGAGATGCTAAAGCGATCCATTCGGCGGATTTGTTGGTGTGTTTTCCTTCTCGATCGAATCTGACTTTAATGCCGAAGCCGCTTTGTAGTCCAGCGAGGGGATTGGATTCCAACAAGCTCCGCCGCAGCCACCGCCACCACCATCGCCGGAGGAAATCGACCTCCGCCGCCAGTCCGCTGATATGGGCGAAACCCAAGACAATGGGGTCCGAGATATCGGAGCCGTCGTCCCCGAAAGTGACGTGTGCTGGGCAGATAAAGATCAGGCCCAAGACCGGCTCCTGCAAGAGCTGGCAATCGGTGATGGAAGAGATTGAGAGAATTCACAACAGGAGGAAATTACGGAGGAGGAGGTCTAATTGGGTCGAGTCTTTGGGGTTCAAGAAAGATATAATGCAATTCTTGACGTGTTTACGGAACATCCGGTTTGATTTTCGGTGTTTCAAAGCTTTCCCAGAAGCAGATTTCACTACGGAAGAAGAAGATGAAGAGGAGGAGGAAGAAGAGGAGGGAAAATCTCAGGAAAATCAAGTGGGAGTTGAGGGAAATGAAAGCTCCAGAACTGCATTTTCTAAATGGTTTATGGTTTTACAGGAAAGTGGGGCTAGTAATGGGATTTGCAGAGAAAGCAATGGCCCGCCATTGGCACCTCCCAAGAATGCTCTTTTGCTAATGCGATGCAGGTCTGCTCCAGCAAAGAGTTGGCAGGAGGAAGAAGAAGAAGAAGAAGAAGAAGAAGAAGAAGAAGAAGAAGAAGAAGAAGAAGCAGCAGCAGAAGAAGATGAAAAGGAAGTGAAGGTGAAGAAGAGCTTGAAATGGCTAATGGAGGAAGAGAACAGAGAGAGATTGGTTATGGAAATGGGGCCTGATTTCTGCAGAATGTCATCGGAGATTGCAAAGGAGACATGGGTTGGCAGGGATTTGTTTTCAAGGAGTCGGAGTTGGAAGGCTTGATTATCTCTGAATTCTGATATCCTACATTTTCCTTTTCATGCTTTGAATATTTTTCAAATTCTGGAGTCTGAATCTTTTTTGAATCTTCGAGTATTAATGGTTTTGGTTGTATGTTGTTGTACAGTTACTTTATAATTTGGTTGGAGAGGATTTGGGTGTCGTGTTTAAGTATGAGACACGCATAAACTCAAATATAATAGATTGGTTTGTCAATCTCTCAAGTGTTCGTTCAATACCAAATAATGAAATCTAATTAAGGGATTTCTTTCTTTACTTGTATTTTCTGTTTTCTGAATTAAAAAAAAAACGTGTTTGTCTCTCTAATCAAACGTGTTTGCTTTTTCTTCCAAAGTCTAATCAAATCAGAAAGAAGTGAGCTTGAAGACATTGATTCTAATCATTCTATATTTGGCCCCTCAAG